AACATAGCAACGCACACAGAGAACTTTTGCGTTTGCGCTCGATCCAATTCAAAGAAATATACCCCGTAATCTCTTTTAAAACTTTTTGTCTTTTTCTACTTCATGGTAACTTTATGTTGTGTTGTAACCATAATATTGATGGTTGTAACACAACATGATCTGAAAATACTTACTTCCATAGCGTGCGCTTTTCTAAAGAAGACCTTCGATTTACTACTAATTATCTCTACTATTTAGTACTAATTCTCTCAAAAAATATCTAAAATTATGCTTAAAAAGACTCGCTTATAAATATCTCAAACTAATTCAATCAAAATTGCTGTAAACCTGAATTAAAATGGGGAAACTGCCTATAAAGAAACTTAGATTGACAGACGACAGCTAAGACTATTTGTTTAAATTAATTTCCTTGATAATAATTGGTTCTTTTAAAAATCATGTGATTTCAGGAGCTGATTATGAACATTTACCATAAAATGTATCTGTATTGCCATTAATTTAAATGTTTGAACGACATTTTAATGTGTTACAAGTGGATAATAAAGTCTAGTATTGTGTTTCAGCTTGCGTGAAAAGTGAATGAGGTGAGTAGCAGTTTGATATATTATTAAGTGAATTTTATTTAGCATTCTGCAGAACACAGAAAGAGGATAGTAGGGTGCTCATAGACCGTTTGTACGGAAACCGATGTCGCCGGCTCGCCCCTACTTCACGTCCACTTAATTAGATAATAGCCAATCAAACGACGCGACATCAAACTATCGACTCAATCAGCGCTCACACCCGAGAGCAACGACGCAATCAGAACTAAGTTTTGGTCATGTTATGAGCATTTGCATTTGCTGTGGCGTGCCTGCCACAAGTCCCTTCTAAACTCTTTCTGTGTTCTGTGATTGCACGGTATAACATGAGGCATAATGCACAGGTTGCTAAGAGGTTCCATTGTTTAATGCCACAATTGCCCATGGATGCACAGACCGACGAAAGAAACTGACCAAGAGCCCTACTACATCTACGACACTTCACTAATAATGATACTTGTAAAACGAAGTTGTTTTAACTGACTTCAAATCGTTAGTTTATAAGGTGTTATTTCTTATTATTATTCGCGTGACCGATTTTGATGATTCTTGTTTTGATTGAAGCAGTTTTTTGGTTAAGTATTAATTTTGTGAAGATATTTTGCGTACTTTCGGAGAAAACAATGGTATTACAAACACTACTCTAAAATTGTTTTGTAACTGTGTTTTTTTCGTATCATCTAGATATCACAAACCGAAGATATGCAGATACTTGGGTGCTAGCAACAAGAAATAATGATTCCGAGAATTGATCATTGTCTTCCAAAACATAGGTCAAATCTAACTAGAAAGACAGAGGAAATTGTAAGCCGCAATAAGCTCTAAAAAAATGTAGTATTTTCAAATAATGTTCGATGGAAAATAAAGTAAATAATGTTAAATGTTTCGATAAAATCATTGTAAACATTGATAAACCTAATACAAGGCTGTGTGTTGACAAATAAATAATGTTAAAATCATCATCATCATCAGCCTATTAATGTCCCCACTACTGGGGCACAGGCGTTCCCTATGGGTGGAATAGGCAGATTGGGCCATGAGCCACCACGCAGGCCCAGTGTGGATTGGTGGGTGCTAACAACTACAGATGCAGCCGGGACCAATGGCTTAACGTGTCTTTCGAAGCATGGAGGAACTCGAGATAAAAGATTTTTGGTCACCCATATTACCGACCACATAAAATACTTATTATTAATTATATTTGTCCTTTTGTAATTAATCCAATAACATCTGTAATATGAGAAGGTATCTATGTATTTTAAATGTACAATTTCATTGCTTAGATTTAAGTGAGTAAATAGATAAGGCAAATTGGAAAAAGATTGTATTTCATTTATGTCATTTTTTTTACTAAAACTATCAAAGATAATAAGTCGCTGTACGTTAAATTTGGGCGGTCGAGATACGATGCTACGTCCGACGTAACGTGGCGCCCAACAACTAGATCCTACCGACAGTTGAATATGGAATAGATTTATTATATACCGTTTTACTCTGTTTGACTGTCTGCCTGTTACCCATAAGGCTCAATTACACTTGGTTGTAACCCCTTATTCGAGAGCACGAAAGACATCACTTGATTTGAGGCACCCGATGCCATAATTACATTGTTTTACTCAAGTTCGGGTATTATGCCACGGGAAAACGAACTTACACCCGCATTATAATTAGAACGTACCTAAGTGATTCCCGTCTTGTAGAGAAACTAAACGAATCCTTTGTCCGAAACTTAGTCGTTTGTCCGAATTCCTTGGGCACTCGTATACGAGCTAACTACTAAGTGTAATTAGCGCCCTTCAACCGATATCAGGGAATTCTGGAATGGGGATAAATAAAATTGGAAATGAAATTATACTTTTGAGAAAATAACTCAAGTTGTAGGGTTAAAACTTGCAGTAGGATACTTAAGAACGAACGAAGAAGATTTAATACGTTTAAGTTAAATTTAATACAGGAAAAATATTAATAGGGAACTATTGCATGATGCAGTATATATAACTTGTGAGTGACTGTCTATCTATATACTCGTTGCGATAAAAGATTTAACGAATAATGTATAAATCATGTCTGTCTGTAGACCTTTGTACTGTGTAGATTATGTAAATAATAATTATAAAACATTCTTCCTGGCGTATCCACATGTTTCATGTGTCCACCACGGAGTCCAGTGCGCTCATGTTTTAAAGCAACTGCCGAAACAATGATCAATTAAGCAATCACAACGTGTCTATACAAATATGAATATTACTTTGCCAAAGGGCTACCCCTTTTATATTTAACATTATACATAACATTTTATGTTCTCGCTTCTGCCTTTCCTGTGGTTGAATAGGGAGATTCGAACCGGTGTAGATTGGTGGGTGCTAATGATTGCAGATGCAGCCGGGACCAACGGCTTAACGTGGCATCCGAAGCACGGAGGAGCTCGATATCATAAATTTTTGGTCACCCATCTTATGACCTACATTGCGAAATTTGCTGTACCTTTGTAGACAGAATGCGCTCATCTTTTGTACCTACGAACTCCTTATTAAATTGATAAGAGAAGAATAATGCTTTCACATAGTTTTTGCACGAAGAGAAGGGTAATTTTTGCTTAATCACATATAATAGAAAAGGCTGAAAACGAAAATTGATAGCAGAGGTCACAGAACACAGAGAGAGGTTATAAGGCCTTGTGGGCGGGACAGGCGCGCCACTGTTATATGTGAATAAAACTTGACCTAAACTTGGTTCTGATTGAGTCGTGCTCTCGGGTGTACTAAGCGCTGATTGGTTCGATTGTTTGGTGTCGCGTCCTTTGATTGGGTATTATCGCTTAGGTGGAAATGTAGTAGGGGCAAGCTGGCGACATCGGTTTCCGTACTAACGATCTGTGAACGCCCTTCTAACCTCTTTCTGTGTTCTGGGGCAGAGGTTGAAGGCTGCCGTCAACGGATCGACGACTGCCGTCGAAAAATGGCGACGGTTGCAATTGACAGTTGGCTGTGAGTCGCTAGTATATTATGAAGCATTAGTGACCATGAAAGTTTAAAACAATGTATTATCTACTCGAACTGAAAATAAATTTCTTTCCTCACAACATTATCGCCAGCCCTACAGCCAAATGTGTCTATTTCGCATTTACCTGCCTGCCATTGTTTATTAAGCCAAAAAAGTTTCTATTCCAACCATTGTGACGGCCTTTTGTTTTATGCAATACGCTCGCTTTGGGGTTTGGACTCCCTTCGTTGTGCATCTAGATTTATGTTATGCTTCTGTGTTTAGATTTAGATACAATGATTTTTGATAATTTTTATTCTATTATTATTAATAACGGTTTGTACTTAGCTGCTTAACTTGTGCCAGTTATGAACAAATTCGAAATAAGTACCTACCTAGGTAGGTATTCCTATCAACACAAGATGTCCCTTAAATTGATCTAAACATCAATCTAAAATGATCGGATGAGCAGGCGCGTGCCGTTCTTTAATTTGTTATCAAGGATAACGCTAACTTTTAAGCTTAAAAATAGATACATACATAGCCTATTAATGTCCCCACTGTTGGAGTACAGGCCTTCCCTATGCATGGTATAGAGAGATTGGACCATGACCCACCAAGCGGGCCTAGTGCGGATTGGTGGGTCCTAACGACTGCAGATGCAGCCGGGATCAACGGATAAACGTAACTTTCGAAACATGGATGGGCTCGATACAATAAGTTTTTGTTCACTCATCCAATGACCGACCATTGCGAAAGTTGCTTTACTTTCACGAGACCAAACGCGCTATCCACCTTCACCATCAAGCTCCTACCTCTTCCTCCTCCCCCCTATGTAATAAATCAATTTAATTGCTAGTAGTGAATTTCGTAGTAGATGTAGAATAAACAAACTTGCGACATATGATTTTAAAGTTATTTGCTTATTTTTAAACTTCATATCAAAGGTAGCGTGAGTGCTTACTTTCGGCCACTTTGGAACTACTGGGATACGGGGGTCTTAACTCACTGGTGTGCCATAATTTATTTACTTTGTATTGTTCTATCCAGGTTTTCAGTGCCACCATTAGGAATAGTGGATTTTCCGCTCAAATTGGAGTGGCCATCCTACATGGGTAGCCGCTATTTATAATATTATGAGTAAGTTTTCTATCACTCCATGGTGGAAGTAAAGATAGTTCATGAGCGACCTCAGGTAATTTTTGGTATCTTTTTCCCATCAAAAGTTTCTCATTATGTTAGTTGTCATAGCTAAAAACAAAATGAGAAGAACTGACAATATATTGTTTTAAACTTTCATGATCACTCAAATTATATTAATTTATGTTATTTACGGGATTGTTAACATGTGCCTTATTTTATTTTTAGCGAGTTTCCGATATTAAAAACAAGGTACTTGGTAACAATCCCGTAAATAACATAAATTACTATAAGAACTGACAAGTTAAGAAACACGGCAAAGTTATATATTATTTATTTTAATAAAACTACTCGCTTCCTACCAACTCCAGTTTCACTTCCACCTGGCGAAGTGCTTGTCGAGTTCAAATTCTGTATGTGTATCTCTACCAATTGCCTCACCAAGTTAGTTGTATCCACGTTCGTGTGAACAATTAGCTCGAACACCTTCAATTGTTCTAGAGTCCTCCATTCGTTCTTGTGGTGTATTGCTACGTTGAATAGTTCGTTTAGAACATCTCTCGCCTTCTTGATCATGCTGAGAATAAACCCTGCTTTATAAGGAGCGTCGTCTCTGTACTTATTCTTTATGTGGTCTATAGATTTGATTCTTCTGTTAGTATCATGTACAGTTTGCTCAACCAGTGTTGCTATTTTCACTTTTATGTCTGCGTCTCTGTCTTGGTCCCTGTAACCTTCTCTGCGTATGTTAGATTTTTCGAGAAGGTTCCTTCGTAGAACATTCGTTTCTGTAGTGCTCTTGAGGGGTGGATAATTATTTTCTTCTTGGGAACTATCGCTATCTTCCTCGCTTTCAAATGACGACCGCGTATCAGTTTTGAGTACGTCAATGAATTTTAAACATAAACTTTCTTTCATGATGCATAATATACCTAAATTTAAAATTTCATTATTCATTTATTTTTCGTTAAATAGTATCCTATGAAAAATACTTGTATCATGAAAGGACTATCTATGACTATGTACCTTTTTATAGGTTTGATCAAAAATTGTTAAAAAATTCATATTAATCTAATATTAAGAACTTTCTATTACTCGCCAGATACAGAAGCTTCTTTGAAATCTATAAGGTACAATTTACACTTTATAGCTAGCATCAAAAGCATAAGATATAATGTAGGAATAATAGTTAAATTAATGTTTTGCTTCACCTCAAAATTATCTTTACATTCAACATTTAAATTTTTCAACAACTGACATTAACATTTAGTGAAATTGCCTAACAAAACTTTAATTAATGGTGATATGCTGACAAAACATAATAATAATACTTCAAAAAAAAAAAAAGAATATAAAATACTTACATATCATCATAATTCTTAATGCTATCTTCATATTTGTACTTTATATTTTGACATCATACGACGTGACAAGTTTATGAACATAATTATTTTACTAGCAAAAATTATTAGTTTGAGTACCTACAAGAAAATATTTTATGACAGCATTTCGAATCTTTACGACCTTTTTCTTAATTAATATTGAAAAATTTATGAGCATCAAGCTGTTTCCAGCACATGAACTGAACACATTTAATAATACTAAGTTCCTAAGTATTAAAGGAAAACATAATAAATGAAATAATTGTCCACCTCTTAATCCTGTCGTACTTGAGTTGACTACGCTCGGGATTATAGCGTGCTCTCTTGATCCAACTAAAATTAAATTAACTGTTCTCTCTCTTTGTATGATCTTTCAAAGATATAAAGAGGGAAGACAATATTTGATTAAAGGGCTAAGGAATCCGGCTGTGAAATATGAAGTCCATTTTTTCCAGTCTATCATTGGCCAGAGTTACGACGCTCTCGCGTATGGCGCAATTTTCTTTACGAAACTTTTGTAGGCAATAAAGAAAGCGCTCCACTTTGGAATTTCCGGTATCAGAGTTTAGGGACGTCCATAGAGCAAGAATGTAACAAGAGCTGAGAATATAAGCGCCTGCAGGGAGTGCACGACTGAAGTTAGAATACTCTTTGACGATTATTGTCAAAATTTCTCGTGAGTGATAATGTTTTTAAAAAAATCTTCGAGCTTGCTATTGAGAATATTAGAGCATCAGAGAACAGAAATATTAAAGTTTAGAAAATGCCACAGTCTATTTGGAGTCAAAGAACTATTGCAAAGAGAAAAGGTGTGTACTTTGGCCCTAGTTCATCCCAAGTTATTAAATAGTTTATTAAACTCTTGCACAAATGCTGTAACAGATTGTTCTATCAACAATTTTACACAACTTTTTTCCTCAAAGACATTGTTTCGTGTCTTTACTTGATTGAATGATAAAATCAGAACCTGCGAACTAGTTTTTATGAAATCTATGTATGTTATATGACCTTATACCATGATGTTTGCTACCGAAAAAATACTGTGTAAAAGTAAAATAGATAGAAGCAATAACCGATATAGAAAATAGAATCCTGCTCCATTACATTATGGTAATTACACGCAACTACGGAACCCTACACTGCCCGTGGCACGACACGCACTTGACCGGTTTTTTTATTGTTAAAAGGGTGGTAATCAAGCGTATGGCCCGCCTGATGGTAAGCGGCCACCAGAGCTTATAGACGCTTGCGATACCAATAATATTACTCGCACCATTGTCTACACTAATCCAATCCCCTACCCCGTGGAGCCCTGGAACCTTACCCATTGACAAAAAGACAGCACCACCAAAAGGTAGTGTTATTTTACTGTGATCTTTTGTAAGGTGGAAGTTACTTTTCCCAGACGGGCTCTTCAATTCAAACACAAAATGTCCTAAGTCTCTTAAATCTCATTAGCCGCCTGTATCTTTTCCAGGTTAGCAATTTTCGCATTCTCCAAGCAAAGAGCAGCGACCACGATATGGCGGTGGAGCTGATCAAAAGGCATTACCTGAGCGAGCACATTATGGTGCGCGCGCGCCGCATGGACCTCAACGACCGGGCTTTAGACGAGTATCTCATCAGCATGTTGAAGCAAGGTCAGTGGTGGCCTTCGTCGCTGTTCAGATATACGCGCAATCACATGCGGTTCGATTTGTTGAGTGAACAGTGAAGGATTAAATATATCGATAGCGTGCGCTGTCTTAAGCGGGAGCACGGAACGGACTTCCGCTTCGCGTGCAGTTCGTGTCATTTCATAGGCGGCGGAGTCCGCCCCACGGGCAGGGCACGCTCAATTGGCTGTCTTCTGTGCTTTTGCCTGTGTAGTCTTTTAGCTAGATAGTATTATCAACAAAATAATTAATTATCGAATGTTTACCCGCGCATTTGAAGCAGTTAGGCAGAGTCCTGAGTTCCTTAAGGGGAAGAAGGTCGTTACAGGGGTAGATTCCAATGCATACTCTCCAATGTGGTACTGCGAACCGCGGCAGTACACTGGACGTGGGCCAGACGTCACGCACCGCCGTCAATCCATGGAGGTGTTTATCCTGGTTTGAGGTCTGCAGTTGTTTGGTTGGTGAACCTTCGACCTTTGCTACTGCGAACGGAACGTCTTACATCGACCAAAAGACGTTCCGGCAACCGGAATGGAGAGTGTGGGAGGATTAAATCGAGAGCGACCATCGTCTCTTTACATTTGAATTGTCAAGTACGAGCACTCCACGCGCTGGGCTGCTAGAAGTTTCCGAGACTTAGGGATCAGGGTTTGGAATGGCCCCTCTTCGAGCGTCGGATCCATGGGTGGGTGGGTAATATAAAGTTGTTGCGGCTCTGCTGTCTGGGCTCAGTTCGCAGCTCTTGTTTTGAGCACCGCGAAGCAAACTCTGCGGATGGCTTAACCAAGGAATTCGGACTGAGGACATGATTGGTGGACGCCCGAGCTTGATCGGATGAGTTAGCTCAACAACAAGTTGAGACGAGCCTGACAATCGACTAGCCGAGCCGATAGCCTGGTTAAGTCGGAGGCCAGCGGACGTTTTCATGTGCAAAGGGGTAGGTATAGGGCGGCCACGGAGGAAGCGCAACTTTGCATATTAGGAAAATAACATATTCCGAAACCTGAACCTGAACCTTTGGGGACAGGCCTACCGAGCCGCGAGTGGGAGGTCAAGGCCTCCCCATAACGTAATTAATACCACGAAGTTCGCCGAAGAATATGCGGGGAGTGTGCAAGAGGCCATACACCGCCAAGTGTATGCTCTCTGTCTGGACGACGATGTGTCTAAGGACAGCGAGTATCACCGGCAAATACGCTTAATGGCCTCATTCATACCCTCAGGAGAAGATGCACCGCCTCCAACCGACAGCGTAATTGCGGCGATAGTCAAGGACTTGCCGAACACTGCACCGGGTATCGATGGGATCGTATTAATAAACACATTTGGGCAGCCGCACCGGTGGAATTAACTGTACCCTAAGTAAGAGTTTGAGCACACGAAAACTATCATAGTTTTCGTAATTGTAAATTATGTTTATATGTCCATTTTGGTGAAAAATAACCAAATATTGGTGGCGAGTGTCCGACGCGGGTGTCAGAACGGGTGGACAGGGGCCCGCGACGGAGCACGGAGCGGACCTACACGACGGACATCCACTCCGTACTCCCTTTTCAGCGCACGCATTAGGTTAATCCATACAGACAATACTTAAGAGTCCTTTTCTCCTAGTCTCAGTTTTTTGTCTGCACAATGAGACCTTGAACTTTGATGCGCTGCGAATACCATACCGAAAAAAATATGGTTGGTTTGATAATAATACTGTAATCTTCAATTACAGCGAAATATTAGCTATGTTATTTCAATGTCCTTAGGTAACACTTTATACGCCAAAACTGAAGACGGCGAGGTGGCTGGTGTGTGCATTAACTTCGCCAGTAGCCATGTCGACCCGAGGAATTTGCGGCTTTACGCGTACTATCGACAAGTATGTACACCTTGCCTTCATTACATGTGATGCATTTTTATTGCGACCGGAGGTCTTATGGCACCATGGAGGTTAGAGAGAAGAAGAATGATTGCTATAGAAAATAGAGTCCCAGAAATATGGACAAAATAAGTGAGGCGCTGTGATCGCTAACTTGTCTCATTAAAGCTAGCTGTTGTGCGCTTATTTGAAATAATCTTTCAACGTTTAATATACGTGTATTTAATATCATTCGGATAAAAAAAGAAAAAAAAAAGAAATTATTATTATTTATTGATAAATAAATTATAAATTGATTTTTATACTTTCTTACATTATTCAACTAACTTCATCTACTTGAACTCATAAACAGCTAACTTCACAGATACTACTTACCGGCTCGTGACTTAAAAATGAACTATAAATTCTACAAATTTTCAGGGACAGGCGGGCTAATGCTTTAGCACGTAGTGATCGTTCTCCTTCTCTCTAACCTCCATGGGCACTTATACGACATTGACAGGATGACCTTGCTTGTGAATAAGTGGTGAAATGAGGATAACAAAGTACGTAAAATATCCTACAAAACATTGTAATTTACAATAACTAGGAAAGGGAATATTCATTTATTACGTGAGACGATTTAGGAAATATAAAAGACTTATTTCACCTTCCTCTATGCCTAGTCAGGTCATAAATTCTGTCACATGTTTAATATAAAATAATTGAAACAAGTTTATTCATTATGTAACCATTTATATACCAAAATGAACTTAACAAAACATAGATTCTTATGACAATAAAGTTTATTCAAAATGACCTCCGTAATTTTGAATACAGGCCTTCAATCTGCGTGGCCAGTCGTCTATCGCAGCAGGAACGAGGTCCATGTCAATATCGGCGGCTGCCTTAATCAAGGTTGTCTTGAGTGACTCCAAATTGGGATGAGGCTTTGAGCGCGCCTTTTCCTCCAAGTGTTGCCGTATCATGTAATCTAACGGACTCAAATCTGGACTGGAGGAGGGCCAGTCTTCGTGCCGGATGAAGTCGATTTCACGCGCCGCCCGCCAGCCAGTCTTGTGTGCTCTTCGCTCTATGAGCTGGCGCCGAATCTTGTTGGAATACCCAGGGCCTGTTATTGAACATGGTATGAGAAACAGGTTCCACAAACTTCGTCAGGACTGTATTTTTCCCGCGTACCGCTTCAACAAAGCGCGGCGTCTCTTCAGTCTCAGGTCCATTTTTTTTTATTTTATCATTTTATTTGTTGTGACTCTCTTCTACGGTAAAATTTTTTTCATCCGAAAAAAGAATTTCCCGATATTTTTTTCCCGCGTACCGCTTCAACAAAGCGCGGCGTCTCTTCAGTCTCAGGTCCATTAGACGAGCATTCAAACGATGTCCTGATTTTCTTCGATATGCCCGAAGCCCTAAGTCTTCATTTAACACCCTTTTCACCGTGGTTCTACTTAACCCCATCTGAAGGGCCAACAGTTTCTGCTTACGTTTGGGATTTCTTTGAATTCGCGCCTGCACAGCTTTTATCACTGCTGGAGTCCTAACAGACCGAGGGCGACCACTTCTTGACCTGTCATCTACACTAGAGTCTAAGTATTGTTTCTTCATCTTCGTTTGATGGTACGATAAACGAATCTTTTGGTTATATTCAAATTTTTCAGTAGGTATGTCAAAAATTTAAAATTGGCGCGTTGATTTAAAATCGCAACGCGATGCAACGCAATAACTGCAACACGGTATTCTTTAAGCGTCCACTCCATATTTAAAAACGAGTAAAATTCCAAAAAGTTTACATTTTTATTTTCATGAACAATTCGAAATTCGAATTCAGTATACTTTTTTGTGGCCAGCATTCTAAAAGAAAAGTTTATACTGTGTGGCAATACTTATGACCTGACTATTATATAAGTTTAAATCTAACGAAAAGTTTATTAGAAAAACTTCGCGGATCAGGCAGCAGAGGGACTCGAACCCGCACCATTGATTGCACTGACCTTTATGCTACCGCGGCGCTGACGGCCGTTTCGAATTTTCTCCAGCCTTAGGCTGCAAGGCAGCGCCATTTCTTCGCATTGTAAATAGGTAAAAATAGGTAGTTTAGATAATAAAGGAGAAGTTGCAAATTCTACCTACCTATACTTGGCAGTTTTTTTTATTAGTAGGTAGATATACTTATCTGACGAGTTGGTGGTCCACTTGTTAGTTCAGCTGGGCATTTTTTTGCGGGTGGTCTACCTCAGTCACAGTCATTATATATATAAATAGTCGTCAAATTCGTCCTTCTAGAATCCCAACACAAAGGACTTGCTCTGCTTTATTGCGCAACTGCAAGAGACTCCTAATCTTTGGGAAATATTTAAGCAACCGAAGATATTTGAGGTAAGGAATTGTCAGATAACCGTGAAATCAGAAGTAGATAAGTAGTTACAATTACTTATTGAAAGGAGCTTGCTCAAATTGGCCTAAATGTACAAAAAATATTGACATATACGGTAATTCTTGGCATAATTTATACTTTATTTTACAGTCATTAGATTTTAACGGACACCTTTGTATAATACATTCATTTTAAAAAGGACTTATATTTTTACCGGTTTGGAAAACATACGGATCATTCTTAATGGCTATGGGTGTAGTAACATTCAGCCAAAGAGTGATCGAAGTTTTTTATATAACATCAAAACAAATCTATTATGTAAAGATCGATAAAATAAAACTTTTTTTTATTACACTGTGGTATTAATATCCGCAAGTACATTATCATTTTTACTACATGCAAATGTGCTAAGACAAATATTATAGATGGTAGGCGACATCATTAAATCTATTGCCATAAATTTTTCGCCAAACACCTCCATAAACACATAAGGTGTAATACACTAAAAGTCTAATATATGGTTATAATATAAACGTAACAAAAATAATAAGCTTTCTTTAGTTAACGAGAGTTTAAAAATTCTCTCTAATCTGTGGCTCATTCACAAATAACACACATTTTCTGTCACAGAGTACCTTATTATAACCGGAAATGCATAGATGATACCTGATTTAAAAAGTTACTCTTATGCATTAAATTTAAAAACAGGCAACTATCTATTAATCTACATGCTTTAAATACCTGAATCTAATATATAATTTCGTTACTTATTTGTTTTTTATTATTTTAATACCATTGTACCTATTTGCAAACAACCTCAAAATCATTCATTGTATATGGTTTATAGAAGTTCTCAGGGGTGTCCGTCAATAATATTCGTTTATACAGTAATTAATATATATTTTCGAATCAAGGAAACAATTTTTCATGATTATTGGTCTTTAGGCCAAACATGTATGGAAGCTGAGCAATCTCCTTTGAATAAGACTAGAAGTATTGACTTTCAAAATGCATTTTTTATACTATTTCTATAGAACTAAATAAAAATCACTAGAACATCATAAGTAGTACAATAATGTACAGAAGGAAATCTACTTACAACCAAAGTGCGCTCGAGCAACGCACGCTTTTTTTTGTGTAAAAAGGAAGCAGCAATTGTTTTTTTAATATTATCAGTTTAGTACTTAGATGGTTGTTTAAATTCAATATTATAAACTGTACCTACGGTAGTTTTTCTTTTAGTTTGTCATATAAGAATAACATAAAAAAAAAAAAAATTTAGTTAATCCCGTTCTTTTTGTTTCATTCTCGACAATAAATCAAACAACATGATATGAGTGCCACTACCACGGTAGTTTTTTTGCATAATCCAAAGTTGACAATCGTAGCGCTACCGTCGAGCGTAGGTATGTAAAGTGATGAGTGTGATGAAGTACATACATGAGATTACCTTCTGTACTCTCCATTTTGTGATCATAGTAAGATCATAAAGAACATTATGAGGAGCTCGATGGCGCGGATGGTTAGCGCGTTCGGCTGCGATCGTTGAAGTTAAGCAACTTTCTCAGTGGTCGGTCATTGTATGGGTGACCAAAAATCTTCTATCTCGAGTTCTTCCGTGCTTCAGAAATCACTTTAAGCCGTTGGTTCCGGCTGCATCTGCATTCGTTAGCACCCGCCAATCCGCACTGGGCCCTCGTGGTGGGTTATGGCCCAATCTCCCTATTCCATCCATAGGGAAGGCCTGTGCCCCAACAGTGGGGACATTAAAAGTCTTATGATTATGATGAAAGAACATCTGTCGAAAAAAATAGCATTATCAAGACCTGATTGATAATGATGATCCTATACCGTACGTTTCAGATCAAAATGCTGACAGTTTTGCCAGAATTTCGAAGGCAAGGTTTAGCAGTATTGCTAGCGGAAAAATCTAAGTTGCAAGCGTTAGATCAAGGTTATAAAGTCATCCGAATGGACTGCATTAATGCTCACGAGTAAGATCATAATCATTTGCACTCCTATGTCTAAATGGATTTAATTAAAAAATCACGATGTTTAAGTCAAAGATCTAGGTGTGCGTATGTTGATCAAAATAATATAAGAATGGCTGACAAGAAAATAAAACACGAACACGGTTGTTTTGTTAATAAACAGCAAATAAAAACAAAAACTGGTAAAATTTTCTATAGAAATAATAGATACATATAACACTTGACTCATCATTTCAAGATCGGAAGGCGCGCTGAGCCGTTATGCCTAACTGCATATGCCCCCTAGCATGACAATGAGCACCGCGGTATGATATAAAACTCGTTTTTATCACGTTCAATTGTCAAATCACTGTGGAGTTTGACAGTTACACGCGATAAAGAACGTGATAAAGAACCCAGCAGCATTAAAAAACTGCTAATTATGATGTGAATTATTTCAGTTACAAAGTGGCCGAGCGGTGTATGCTACAATGCATCGTCAAGTTTCCTTTACACAAGTTACGCGGCGAAAACGTCCCTTACATCAAACGCGGATCAGAGTTCAACCGTTGCGTGCGCGTGTACGTGGATGCGCGTACGCAGGCAGATGTACCGGACAAGAACTTCGTCAAACATAGACAGATGGATTTGGATAGCCTTATTGAATAGACATTGGCTTCTGCAATCAACTTCCAGTCAAAAGTATAGATAATCTGGTTCCTTTACTTAACAGAAGCCCAAGCATGATTTTTTTCAGCTCCGTAAAGTATCGTAATCCTCAAATTGTAAATGGAAAAAGCTAGTTTGTTCTTACGTCCGATAGGGGCGGCGCTGCTTAGTTTTCATAGAAACTTTGACGATGCGATACATGATTCTCTAAACTTAAAACTAAATTCAACATCAGTCTCATTCTGTATAGAGAATGACAAGGTCAAACTTAAATTTAACTGTTTAAATTTAAGTTTAGGCTTAGAAAATCCTGCCAGAATCGACATCAATAATGAAAATAACTTGTTATTCCTACTTTCCTTTTTTTAGCCCAGGTTCAGTACCCCAAGCGTGAGTAACTAGTAAGAAAGTATTCGTATCGCCACCGCCAAGTTTGTATGGAAAAGGCTTGTCACGTTCGATAGGGGCGCTGCTAAGTTTTCATCGAAACTTTGACGATGCGATACGATTACGGAGCTGTCAAAATTTGAGCTTGGGCCTCTGGTTCCGTTTCTTAACGAAACGGTTAACAGTTGTTAATCTAGTATAAAATTTATAAATGTCTAGGCGACAAAGCTGAATAACTAGCTGTTGCTGAGAAGCTATACCAGATAATTCTTAACTTTTACTAGAACTTGATTATTGAAACAGGCCGTTAGAGTGCGATTCAAACTTAATGGCGGCTGTGAAGTAAACGCGCGCAAAATCTGGGATTTAGAAGTATTTAAAAAGTAATGTGGTTATAAAAAGGAATAAAAAATGGATATAAAACGTGTAATGTCTATGTCTCATGTTGTTATAAAAGAAATTAAATGCAATTTTTATTTTAAAATATCGTTTATTTTATATCCATATAAATATAGTTTTCTAATGGAAGTAAAATATAAATTTCAGAGTCGAGAGTTCATAATGAAAACTTCGCAATAACTTAATAAAGATTGACTTACATTTTTGTTTTATACATTAATCAAATTATAGGGTGCATATTAACTTATATTTATGTTTTATTCGTTAATCGAATATAAGATGCACTATCCTAAGTAACTCTTAACTAGATAATTAAAACTCTAATGAGCATTCACCTATCACATAATGAGATTTGTCGTAGTAAAAACAGAACAATTAACCCACAAAGAAAGATTTGATATTATCACTTATCTAAACATGCTCCAGCTGTGAGTATAAAAGTAATAGACTAACCGTAATCACTAGAGTTAATGACTATTTAACATATCAGTTGACTATAAACTTCTTTTCCACTGCAAGATAATAATATCAATTCCGACATGATAGAGAATCATCAACTTAAAACTAAATTCAACATCAGTCTCTCCTTTTCATTCTGTATAGTGAACGACAAGGATACACTGTTGTAAAGGACATCGACGAAATCGGCCCTAGCATGCCCAAAAGAATGTCCTTCACTATTATTTTTCTATTATTTTTTTAACTTATTAGCAATTAATCATTGTAAACGGACAATCTGTTTAAGAAAATAAAAAATTAAAGTTCTGTTACTAGATACTACAGTCTGTTCATCCAACTTGGCACTCCTTTTTATTGAAAATACAGCATTAAAAATCAACTGATAACTAGATTCAATAGGTTTCAGTCTATAATAACGATTTATTTTAATAGTTTATTGGCTTCGTTAATATTTTATTATTAAACGGGTGATTCTGTTAAAAAGTTGTGCCAAGATTGTTTACCTTATTAAATGCAATATAGGCGACCATAAAAATAGAACTAGGTACCTTAGTCAATAATACTTATTACTAGTATTTATATTATATTTATAAAAAGATTATTTCTGAAATTATGTAAAGATAGTTTATACTCCCATCCCATGTAATATCTGTTTATTTTTATGAAAATCATATTGATAACCAGGTACATACCTAATTACCGATAGTAAAATATAGAAACAGGTAAATGGAAAGACTGAACATTTCATTTGAAAAGAATCTATTATTACCTACTACAGGTAGGTATAGGTATCATAGGTGCCAACTGACAACACTCATAAATCAATATGAATATAAGCATTTATTATTTTTATTATTAATTGCATTTTATGTTCATTTAATGCATATTATTTAAGTGCTTACATAGAGGTAAAAACTAAATCTATTCAGAATATATGAAGTGTACATCTCTTACGATTAAGTATAATAATTATAACCTCAAAATCTAATACATTCTGTAGTAGGCCACGGTTCCTCAAGTTGTCCGTATCTCAACAAATGCTTAATTAGAGTTTATGAATGATTCCGAACACAACTAGCATTTTCTCATTGCTGGGCGTTATAGGGCAATCAATGTATGGGGAACGAGCAATGTCCTTTTTTTGTTCTTTATTTATTTAGAGGTTTTCATTCTACAAATATGCCAGCCTTATCGTACCATAACCAATACATACACAACTAATTTAATTTAAAACATTGGAGAGGGCGAGCTATTCTAACTAGCGAAAACCATATTATCAAATATCGACTTTGCTGCGTCTGAGTTTGGTAGTGCTACCACAAAGGAACCTATATTCTCAAAGTTAAGTTGATATTGTTGTATGAATAGCTCTCTCTCTCTCTCTCTTTCTCTTCTGTTCTTCACACATTCCATTAAAAAGACGGATGGCAAATTTAATTTTAGGTTTAGAAAATCATGCCAGTATCGACATCAATGGTGAAAATAACTTGTTATTCCTACATTCCGTTTTCTAGCCTAGGTTCAGAACGCCAAGCGTGCGCAACTATAATCGTATCACCATCGTCAGTTTGTATGGCAAAAGCCAGTTTGTTGTTATGTCCGGTAGGGGCGCTGCTTAATTTCTATAGAAACTTTGACGTTGGCGATACAAATAAGGAGCTGTGGAAGTTCGGGCTTGGGTAACTGATCAGGGATATGAAATTTTAGATCTGAGTACAGAGTGAATATTTCAGAGTGCGAAAAAAAGGTTACAACTGCACGTTAATTTATTCTCACCCAAAATGAGCTTTATGAGCAAAGAAATAAGGCTTGTGATTGAAAATTAATGAGCTAAATTTAAAACTTTGTTATATATGTATCAATTTTGATCATCATACATCAAGTTTAATAATTTCATGAACCAACCGTAATGAATACAAACCATCAATGCATTTGAATCTTGTGAAGTTTTTACACTCACCTCACTAGACTTGTGCTTTAAACTTCTCAACAACAATATTGAACAAAACCCAAAAGTATCGGTATACAATTTCAATGACTGATTTCTATTTCATTTCAGATTTAGAGACAACACTTCAACATGTTCTATAACAATAGATATATAGGTTATACTAAAGCAATCAATGTGTGCGTGTGTAGCGACGAGTATACCTACCATATGTAGTAGATATTTTTGTACCGCTTCCATGCAGTAATACGGTACCTATCTAGTATGTATATAACCAAGTTAGTTTCCATAGAAACTTTGACGATGGCGATACGAATCTTTCTCGCTAGTTATTCGTGCTGGGGTTACAATATTCCGTATCAAATTTAATTTTCTTCATCTTTCTTTGAGTCAGCTGGGTTCGTCAAGTAAGGCTGGACGACTGTCTTGATAAACCAATCTCTGTCGAACTGAAGATGATCACCGGGCGAGGACAGAAACGCAAGCTTTCCTGCGTCGTCCATCGCTTTTAAACCCAGCCTATCCTGAAATATCCGAAAATCTTTTCAAACACAATTTGCACACGGACGAGTATGAGGAATAATTATTTTTATAAAATACTAGCTGTCCCAGGAAACCTGGTACCGCCATAAAAAAATAGGGATTGGTGGTAGAAGGGTGAAAATTTAGGGTTAAAAAACAAAAAAAAAGTTAAGGGTGGATTTAATTTAATTTCACCCTTAACATTTGATAAGTGATTTTACAAAAGTCATCACACACTCTTTTGGACACACAACGATTCTTAGTCAAGAACTTTCCACACAATAATTTATAGAAAAATACTTTGGCAGGAGATCTAAAAAGGTCCAATTTCGACCGATAGGCGACTGCATGTTACAATTATTAATTTATTATGCGCATAATCTTTATTAATTTAGATATAAAATAAATCCACAATAATAAAAAAAACATTCTACTCACCGGACTGCTTGGCAGATATATTTATAATATTTAAGAGAGTAATTTTTCTAAGACTACGAGGTATGGAACGGGATCAGAATAGACAAGGCTTACGCTAGCTAGACTAATGCTCACTTGTTTGGGTTTTCGGTTGTTTTTACATGAAAAAAATGCTATTCAATTACCCACCTGTTTATAAAGATCAGATTCTTGTAGCGTAATCAATTTCTGTGCTTGCCCCGGCGCGTAGAATCCGAACCATTCCGTTTCACGCGGTTGCACAATGCTGTCGTTGTTGAACTTTATCATCACGAAGTTCCGTAGCGAGTACAGATTCTCTATGTACGTTCTGTTTATGGTTCGCTCGTTGTTTATGTCCGCTAGGAACTGGCTTTTCTCCTTGTACGTCTCTTGCTTGAGGGGATCATGCCAATACGTGGCCTGGACCAAGGACTCTTGAACCCAACTGGAATAATAAACAAAGAAGTTATTTAATATTATTTGGTTGATGATCAAATATAATGAGTAGTCAGACCTCTTTGACTAGCATTTAATTTTCTTGCCAGAAAAGGAGTTTGATCAGATCTACTTCACCTCTTTTACTCGGCTTACTCTTTTTATTTTATAGACATTTTATATATTTCCTACTTATTTCGCGTCCTCTTTTTCTTCTTCCTTTCTCCTCGCACTGCTATTGGTCCGTCCTCTCCACTTGGGCAAAATCAAGGGCTCCAAGCCCAAGCGGGGATTTTGGGATTACTGGAGCGCGGCAGAATTATATTAGAAGGGGGGCACCATTGCACCATGTGAAGTACTCCCACCATACCTCATCCTTTTATGTAAGAGGAAACGTCTTCGACAGCAAAAACAAATTCAGCAATCGGCCATGACTTTTAGTCGCGTCCAAAACGTCAGTCCTTTGATGCAAGGTTTCCCTCCCCTTATGTGCCCAAAGTGGAGAGGACGGACGAATAGCAGTGAGAGGAGGGAAAAGAGGACTCAAAATTAGTAGGAAATATATAAATGAGAGTAAGCGGAGTGAAAGAGCTTTTCTGGCAAGAAAATTAATGCTGGTCAAAGAGGGCTGACCAGTAAATAGTAATTATTTTCTTAGTATTTTACGTATTAAATTCCTTATCATCAGTCTATTAATGTCCCCATTGCTGGGGCACAGGCCTTCCCTATGGATAGAATAGGGAGATTGGGCCATGACCCACCACGCGGGCCCAGTGCCAACCAACAGCTTAACGTGCCCTTCGAAGCACGGAGGAACTCGAGATATAAGATTTTCGATCACTTATCCAATGACCGACCACTGCGAAAGTGGCTTAACTTCAAGGATCGCAGCCGAACGCGCTAACCACCTGCGCCATCGAGCTCCTCTTTAAGCAATAAACTAAGGATTTTTTTTAATTAAAATCTTGGTCCTGGTTTCGGACCAGATTCGAACTGAAAAATAGAGTCCAAATTAAATCGCAGCACGATCCGCAAATGGAATGTTTTGCCAGCTCACTTTTTCCCCTTCCTCCTACAACCAGGTGTGCTTAAAAGAGGCGTGAAGAAGCAACTTTCAGGCCGGCAAGGTGAGGATGGCTAGTGTGGTAGATAAAACTGCCGTATCAGCAATCTACGCCTCTGGAATCCATCATCATTTAAAATCAGGTGAGGTGGTGTCATTTGGCGGACCCGGTTATAGAAAAATCTGGCAGTCATCTGTTATTGATTGTAAAGGACTGGTATATGTATGTTTATCATTGAGCTGTGAGCTCTGTGGATCGCTTAGTACTCGGCAATGACGACCAAGGACAAGGTTTTGCATTTCTTTCGACACTTTTATGATCGCATGACTTTATTTGTAGGTACTACAATAGAGGTACTTTTTTGTTTGTACCAAGGTGGTTTGTATACGTGATGAGCATATTGGCAACTTTAGCGTCGGTTGGCCTTGAAGCGTGCGCTGTGTTAGGAGACCAGCCTCATGCAGCGCTGCTCTATCGAATAACATGAAATAAACATGCGAAGCAGACGCCCGCTTAACGCAGCGCATGCTCTTAGTTTTGATTCAGCTTTTGTGAAGAACATTATATAAAATACTAGTAGCCTCCTACGACTTCGTCTGCGTAAAATGATTAGGTTTTCATTCCCTACTTCATATCCCTAAAGTTTAATTTTCAAGAGAAACTTAATTTTATTTAGATTTGTGACTCAGCACTTAAAACATGAAAGGGTGATGATTTATGACAGACTAGCGGCCGCCCGCGTCTTTGTCCACGATAACTTTAGTTTTTTGAGAATCCCTCAGGAACCTAACATTTTTTTGGAATAAAAATGATCTGTTACCTTTATCCAGGTAATAAACTATACTCCCACACACATCTATCGGCCCACCTAGCATTTTAAGTTTTGTCCTATATGATTTTGATGGTCTCTAGCTAAAAATAAATGTAACTTTGAGAAAAAGTTTTTACGCAGTTTTGACGTTGATTTATACACAATATTATAATGTGTTTTTTAAAATATAGTATTTTTGGTCAACCTTACTTAATTATATTTTTGCTACAGTTTCATCGATCCGTAGCAAAAATATAATTATAGGATGCAGACAAAGCTGAGTAAGAAGAGCTATCTGAAGCGCATATGAATTATTATAATAAGGACTTAATCGTGTAAGATAAAATTATTCATTATGTAAAATTCAGGTAAAGATAACTATTATTGACCTAGCTTCCTAGCTAGCTTCTAAATTCAAGAAAAACCATTGGCAAACAGTTAGAATTTACAATATAATGACCATCCAAAGTGAGAATGGAATTTGTTTCAAACCCACTTGTGATTAAAAGTTCAAAGCCCTTCCGGCGAGTCTATTGAGGTAGGAATGGCCCCAGAGTATTTTTTTAATTTTGTTTCGACCTATCTATATTACTTTGAAACACAATTTTTGTTTTTTCCCCATAAAACCTCTTTTTTATATATATGACAATAAACAGAATTTGTTTTACTTAGCTCAATAAGAATTTATAAGGAGAAATAATTTCAACAGATAACCTAGTCAATTATAGATAACCTTCTTAGTTAAACTAAATGTTTGTAGTCAGTGTTGACAAAATGACTGTTAAGATCTGATTCCTACTCACTCATAATAAGCTGCATAGTTGATGATTTTCCTCACATAGTCGCAAGATTTGTGTTTTAATGCACCACAATGAGGTAAACCGTATACTCCCTGGTGTTGACCTCCGAGTGTGATCAGGTTCTTGATAGATAACTTATCACCACATCTCTGTACCAAAGCTCTCCTGAAAAAAAAATTAAATTAGATAATTTTTCAAATATGTTATTAATGTCATGTTATTAATTTGGCTTTCTTTTATCTTTCAAATAAATAAATGACACACTTATCCACTATACATTTTCAAGATATTTAGCCAGTGTAACAATAATGTTTAATGATCTTAGCATAACTTACAAATAAATTTATTTCCTCATTATAATTTATAGGTATTCTGTCCACTGGCTATATTTATTTTAGTTAATATTTTGTAGACTTTGTGATTTGCTTTCAAGATTTCTGTTTACTTACATGAATTGGCTACCTTGTGAGAATCCAATGGCATTAAAACCATTTGTCAATTTAGGATCAGCAGCCAGTTGGTCACATGCAATTCTTACTTGTTTATTAGGGTTCATAAAGTAGCTGTTCTCCAGATCTTCAATATTGTTGTTTCCAATTCTGATAGACTTGACATACACCCCTGGGATTATAGTCTCTAGGAATACACTAAATTTACCCAAGCTAAATGGCAGGCAGCAGGTATCTCCTAAAAATTCAATAATGTTACTTTTTTGATTTCAAAATTTATTTGCAAACCGAGTGTTATCCCGTATAACATTACTAGATAGATATATATAGAAGCAAGACTATCTTGTATAGCTCCCGTGATAGTCTGTGCGCCAATAGACAAGATTGAAATGCACCAGGTGTAAAACATTGTCTTGCAGGTAGTAAAATCTATGAATGAAGCTACCAAGCTTCAGTAAGCTTCTGACTATTTTAGAACCACCAAAAATGTGGTAAGATGTGAAAATTCATGTTGGTATATTTATCTACCACTTTTGATGCTCTTCTAAACTAGCATTTTTTTATACCAGAATAAAATTACAGTGTATTGTTTTGAACTTCCATTGTCACTAGCACTATAGTAATTTATGTTATTAATGGGATTGCTACCATTATCATATCATATCAGGGAACTTGCAAGTGTCAAAATATTGGGGACTCATAATAAACAAGGTACATGGTACTGTTAATAATATAAATTACTATAACATGACAGTAGCAATATATAACACAGATCTGTTCGTATCTTTCTCACTAATGGATAGTTGCGAAATTTCTGTGTAAAACGGAAAAAGCCACTGACACAAGAAAGAAGGTACTATAAAACAATTATAAACTTATCATATTTTGTCCCTTTGAAAAATCAATACATGAAATAAAACGATTTAAACAGCAATAAAGAGACAAAAAATATTTGATAACACACATTAAATTAACAAAAACACTGGCATCAAATGCAGATATTATTTATAATTGACCTTACCTTAAGAGTTCATTGTTCATTGATCTCATAACTAAAATTAGTATAATTTTAGGAAAACATACCCATTCCATGCCATAGCACTATAGGAGGTGGCGACGCAATTGTTAATTTAATAACGAAAAGTATTGTTATCCAAATCTTCATTATTTCAGCTTATGGCGCCAAACAATGTTATGAAATGACCAGCCGCAGTGAGAACTCGGGGCGAATGAATTGATTGCCCGGCGTAATCGAAGAAGACGCAAACAAGACTGTTTTTTATTGCTTATTGCAAATTATCAATTTCAACACCTTTGTGTTTTTGCGACGGAGCATCATAATATATTTATTTGTGCACTACACCAATAAAAGTGTCAAACGCATAAATTATAAACTTATTCGCCTTAATCTAAATAAAGATTTTATAAAATCTAAATAAAAATCCAATTAACATTCAAAACAAACAAACTAATGTCAACCAACAGTCAATGTCAAAATTCAATTGTCAAAATTTGTTGTTATATTTTTCCGTAGAGAAGGCAAAGGATATTGATACATTTAGTTTTACTTTCAATATTTTCATTCTTGTATGACACAGTTTTTTTTACGAAAATACTGCCCTTCGTGTGCGAGTGTAGTTGATTCACATATCTTCTATCATCAATATTATTAACGTTCCGATCAAGAACAATATTTTTTTGGGAATGGGATCGCAATCAGGAAGTTCAAAATAGCATTCGAAACGTTAGAGAAGTGAATAAGTAGGCCTCTTTGACGACCTCCGTGGCCGAGTGGTTTGTACGCCGGGTTTCATGGCTGTCGCCCACTCGAGAGGTCCCGGGTTCGAATCCCGGTGGGGGCAGATGTTTGTGTGATGAATACGAGCATTTGTACTCCAGTCATGGATGTTTAATATGTATTTATATAAATATACTTATATATGTACAGTGTATGTATTCTATCCGTTACCCTAGCATCCCATAACACAAGCCTTATAGTGCTTATTTTGGGGCTAGGCTAATTGGTGTGAGTGTCGGAAATATTTATTTATTTATTTACTTCGTTTTACGAAGCTGCTCCTTCGACATTTTTCAGTAGAAATTTTACTAAGTATGTATTTGTAATCTCGTCGCCGCGGCAGATGCTGGTAGAAATAGCTCCGTAAAATTTTAGGCTATGTTTTTGTAAATCATTGTGTGACAAAGACCCTATGACTGGTGAGCGGTGGGAGACTGAGGTATAAAATCTAGGTACCGGATAGCTGAAACTGCATGTGATCCAACCTACAGTTCATAGTTGATTTTTGGATCTCGGTGTCTAATGTGTAGGTTTACGGATTTTCTAGTCCAATCATAAATAAAAGCTTAACCTCCGGTCGAGCGATGGGATCAGGACCTTAGTCTTAGTAGAACGGCGGGCTGTTTCCGCAACTCGACACCCAGTGCCTATTTTGCGTGGGGATTGGCATCAGTCCTGCCATCCCAGCTCCTTCAAAAAGCTCAGCAGTCCCCGGATGTTGCTGCAGGCTTCTACTAGTGTCCGCGGGTTTCCCATTAGAGAAGCCCTTTGTATTGCAACGCCTCTGCACTCCAGCAAAACATGGGTCCTCGTCCAAACAGGCTCTGCACAGAGGGCTGTCAGAAATACTTATATTATAAAGGTGTTTGTTGAAGTAGCCGTGACCCGTGAGTATACCCACGATTTGTTTCAGGGCTTGTCTAGGTAGTCGAATTAACTTACGTGATAGCTGCTGGTTTACCTTAGGAACGGCTTCCCTAGCTTGCCTGCAGTCAGTGTGTTTTGCCCAATATTCATCGTGTTGTCGTTGACAGCACTCCCTTATCCAGGTTTTCAGCTGTCGATAAGGTATGGGTACAATTGGCCCCGGGCCAATGGCCGTCCTGCTGGACCCCTCTCTAGCCAGTTACCCCTTGAGCCGCTGTGTCCTTTAATCCATTGTAAGATTAGTCTATTGTCATTACAAATATTGGATATCTTACAGTGGCATTCGTAAATTAACCCTGATGTCATTATATTGTTGTCCAGTGCCTGTAGGACAGAAGCGCTGTCAGAGAAAATACGAATATGTTTTCCTCTTACGCCGCGGCAGTCTATCGCCTCTGCGGCTCTAATGATGCCCACACACTCTGCCTGGAAGACTGTGTTGTATGCTCCCAATGCTGTTGAGATGTGTATATTTAGTTCTTCGGAGAAGACACCCGAACCTGTCCCACAGTTGGTTTTTGAACCATCCGTGTAGACCCTTAACTCCTTGTGCAAACAGCGGTCCGGAATGTCTTCATACGTTGTATTTTATATGTTCTGTCAAATACGTACGTCTTAGGAATAAGGTCGGAAGTACGGAAAGTGCCTATGTATGTCTGCTAAGATACTGGTATGTGGAAAGTTGTTGTCCCTCCATAGCCCCAGCATGCTTAGGCGAGTGGCTGTACAAGTAGCTTCCTGTTGTATAAATAAATGGAGTGGTCTCACATTAAGTACCTATAGTCTCCAGTGCTGACGTGGGAGAGGTTTTCATGCAGCCGGTGATTGCACAGCAGGCCCGCCTCTGGAGACGTCTTAACTTATTAGTTGTCGTTACCTGGATTGTCTTGGTCCACCATACTACTGCTGCATAGCTGATGAAGGGCCTAATTATTGTTGTGTACAGCCACCTGACAATGAACGGTGATAGTCCCCAAGTTTTGCTAATAATTTTCCGACACTGCCAGAAAATGATGTTGGTCTTCGTAGTAGTTTTGTCTATGTGTGATCCCCAGTTCAGTTCAGAGTCTAGGGTTACTCCTAGATACTTTACCTCATTGGAGAGAGTTAGTGTCGTGTTTAAGTTTCGGTAGCCGATAGTCACCTAAGGATCTTTTGTTCGTGAACATTACCAGTTCTGTCTTCACCGGATTCACCTTGAGGCCATAGTCGTCACACCATTTTTCAACCACCTTCAATGCTCCCCTTGTAACATCACAGGCGGTGCTCGCAGACTTACCCGGGACCATGATTGCCAGGTCGTCCACGTAGCCCACCGTGTGGAAGTGAAGGTTGTTTAGTTTGGTGATTAAGTCGTTTATTACTACATTCCATAGAAGAGGCGATAGTACTCCTCTTTGAGGACATCCTTTAGTCGCCAATGCTCTGAGATGGTTGTCGTCCTGTAGTCTGATTAGTCTGTTACGGAGCATGTTGCTTACCCAGTATATGATGGTCTCATCTACTCCGTGTTTGCCGAGTGCATCTACAATGCTGGCGAAACTTTGTTTTGTCAAACGCCCCTTCTATCATATATCTATAAAGGTGCCCAAACATAGCTCTTTCCGTCTGAGACAATCCTCTATTTTACTTACGACTGCATGTAGTGCAGATTCTGTCGACTTACCTGGACCATAGGCGTGTTGGTTCGGATGTAATGGAATATTGACTAATTGGTTGTCTCTCAGCTCTCTGTCGCACAATCTTTCTAGAGTCTTTAGTAGAAATGATGAGAGACTTATCGGTCTGAAAGATTTCGCCTCGTTGTAGTCTGCCTTACCTGGCTTTGGTATAAAGATTACCTTGGGAGGTCAAGGTAATCTTTATACCAAAGCGAGAGCTTCGGCGTGTATCTAAATGCAAGACACGCTCTCAGGAGGAGCGCCGGAAAGATGCCATCTGGTCCGGCTGCCTTGAATGGCTGGAAGCTGTTAATGGCCCACCTTAACTTGTCTGTAGACACTGTCCTCAATGCAGTGTTCCAGGATTGTTCCGTGGGGGTCCAGCTAGTGTCATTCCAAATAAGTGTCGTGTGTATGATGCAGCCCGGGAAGTGGGTTTCAAGTAGTATCCTCTGTGCCTCCTCAGGTGTTTCTGTGTTTCTGCCATCAGCCTTCCGAAGCTGCGCTAGTTCTTGCTGCTTGTCTTTAGATAGTAGTTTCCTTACCTTATTTGCTTTTGTGCATGAGTCTGTTTCTGAACAAAATTTTCTCCAAGACCCATTCATTGCTCCAGTGTCGAATGCGTCTTTTGTAAAGTGCCTTGGCATCTTTGTACACCTCCCAGTCCTGGTCGTCACATGTATTCATGGCCCTGTTAAAAAGTCTTCTTACCTTTTTCCTCAGTTTATCCAGCTCGGGACCCCACCAAGACTTGCTGGCATCCGAGCTGGATGATGGCGCACTAAGAGGACAGGCTGTCTAATAGCATGAGATGATTACTCTTGTTAATTCCTCAGCTGTTTCGTCTATCTTATCAGTTTCGTCCAAACTTTCAGACTGCATATGTCGCAATGACCGAGTTACCTGTTTGCGATACTGGCTTCTGTTTGTTTTGCTAGGTATGCGTCTGAGTGGCTGGGTAACACGCTGGGTAACACGTCTAGATCAGAAGCCCAAGCATGAATTTTTGCTAGCTCCGTAACATATACCTATCGTCATCATCAAATGTATGGAAAAAGCTAGTTTGTTCTTATGTCCGATAGGGCCGCTGCTGTTTTCATAGAAACTTTGACGATGCGATACGTTACGGAGCTGTCAAAAATTCGTGCTTGGGCCTTAGGTGTCATCCTTCTAAATGCTTTCCACCAGCAACGTTTAGACTCGCAAAACAAATAATTTATGTACCTAATTGTTGCCTAAGCAGGATTATAAAACTCCCTAAAAGCAGGTTGTACGTTTTCGTGAGAGAGATTCCTTGAAGATAAGTGTAAGTTTATATCATAGCAAATGATAGGTAGCAAGAAAAGATTTTTGCAACACTTCTACTGATGGAAACAAAAAAAGATAACTCTTTTTACCATAACTGGTATCAACCATAAATCAAGTTTCCAAAAACTGTAAAATTTCTCATTTCATTACTCAATGAAATAAGAAATTTTACAGTTTTTGTAAACCAAAGTAGTATTTACAACACAAACTACCTAGTTTGTATAGTAAATACAGCAAGTCACGTCTCGGTGAAAATCAGGAGGAGAAAGACAGTTTTGGGTAATTTGACTTGACTATCTGTAAATACGAAATACTATTGCTAATTCATAAATTCAAGCAGGGTTTGATAAAATGGTGTCTAAAGGTCTGAAGCAGGTCTACCAGAGATCTGCGCAACTCAGTTATCACTCAGAATTTCATTAAGGCTAGTTAGGACTTCTAGTCAGTGTAATGAAACTACCTTGTGATTTTATTTATGTTACGAGGGTAGCAAAAGGCCACCATAACTATCACTCGCGCCTTCGTTGCCTACCCTGACCCAATCCCTTACCCCGTGGAGCCCTGAAACCTTACAGGAACACAATACCACCGAAAGTCCACCTTATATTTTTAAATATCAAGTGGTTTTAGTTTTTAA